TAAAGGTTAACTTAAAGGTGGGGTATGTCATTTTGGAGAAACCAGCTCGAGTGCGGTAGAATTTGAAAATACACAACCGGAAAAAATCTGCCCCTTCCTTCAGACTTCCTTCCAGAGCCCCTCCTCCAACACACACGAACGCGCACATGACCAATGAGGGCACGAGATAAGTTTGTGCACGGATGGAAGGCTGACAGGCAGGTAGGCCATCCAGTTACTTTAGCCGGACCGGCTCAGATGATTGGTCGTGCTTTTTACAGCGCCACGGCTTCCACAGATGATTTTTTTTAATCTATTTTTTTTCAAAGCATTTCATTTATTCATTGCTATCGGGATGTTCCATTCCATGGAATATAACAAAAAGTGTTTCTGAAATAAATGATATACCCCACCTTTAACCCAAAAGATAACTAACTCTAATGTCACAGCAGGATTTCCAAATTTTTTTACATCCCTTGTGTTGAAAGTGTTACATAAATAAACTTGCCTAAAAAGATAATTTTGTCATGCCTCACATTTAAAAATAACCACTATTTTACTGTAAACACATTTTTGCTGAATTTAAGAAAAAGCTTGCAAGAATTATGAAAAAGTCTGCTATTAAGAGTTTCATTTTTTTTTGACAAATCACTCAAAAATGTGTGACACAACCAATTACTCTCCATCCAGAGCAATGTTAAGCTTCTTCTCTAGAACATTTTTTTCAAACGTACAAGAAATATTTCCGGAAGTAATGAGTTGATTCAAAATCGTACTTACGTTACTTGTTATTGGATTAGTTTTTTAAGACGACTGGTATATCTAACCCTTCTTAAATAATACAAATGAGGTTGTTTCATGGTAAAATGAACATGTAGATTCGTAGTCAGTGGAAACAAATACAGTTAGTGTGGTTAGATGTTTTCTTCACAGTTGACATCAGATACAGCTATATTGATGTCGCATGTTTCTCATGTGGGTAATTCTAACACGCTCTAAACAGAGATCAAAGGGCAACCATGTGACATGTTTACTGTTTTATGGTGAGAAATGAAGCTCTAAAATCTTTCTAGTATTTTTCGTGTGATAGCTGTGATAGCTGTCATAGCTGCTTAAATGCAGGCAACTCCAATAGGAATGAATGCGTCAGAACAAATCAAATACTTGTGGCTGATCACTTTTACTTTTTTGACTTCTTATGTAATCTCTGTACATGTGGACTCATTGTACTAGATCAGGGGCTTTCCCCACCTTTCACTTCCTGTTTGTAATGGTTGTATGTCCCCCTTCCTTATTTCTCTCTTTCTGTCTGTGTCCTCAGTGCTCCTGCCCTCAAGACTGTGAGCTGGATTCTGATTGGAGGAATGGAGTGCCAGTCTGTCCTGCACAAGTGATCGGGGTATGTGTGACTAAGATGTCTCTTATTTCGTGTGTGTGACTAAGATGTCTCTTATTTCATGTGTGTAACCCTGTTCAGTCAGACAATTAGGCTTATTTGTATCGAGCCGTAATAAGCTGGAAGCAGATCCCAACAGTCGATTCTGAGCCTTTCATCACTTTTATTGCGTCCAGAGAGCATTGACGAGGCCTGAATGTTGTGGAGAAAATATCTAATTACCATTTTACTGACCAATATTAGCAAATATTTTGTATAAATGAAACTCCAGCACTGTGTTTGTGGGGCCTTTGAATTGCTGCCCGCAAATAACATCAAACCATTTAATGATTTAGAAAGGTTTTTCAAATCTTAAGCCAATCAGAGCCACTTTAAAACGTCTGAGGAAGCAACAATTCCTGAGAGTTATATCAATAATGAGCTTAAAACAATGATATGATAATATTATGAACGTAATATTATTACATGTACATCCTGACATGGATCTGTCCACTCTGTAACTGCACAATATCTGTCTAAAAATGCTGTAAAATATTAGGGTATTTGGAGAAAGATTCTGCGCTCATTTAAATATATCTCTTGTGAAAATGTAATAATATAAAATTAACGTTTATTTGCGTTCATTTATATTTTCATGCATCAATTCCATTTTCACCTATAACAATCCCTCGACCAGTCAATCCACTCTGTTTCCTGTAACCTTGTCGATAATTGAGATGTAAGTATTTAATACATTTTAAATAGAGTACGGCAACATTTTAATATCTTTCAAATGTATTAATATGAGAATTAGTGCTCCAACATTTAATAGTAGTAATAATAGTAATGACAATAATAAATTAATTTAATTAAATATCTGTTAATCCAGCACATTGCCCTCAATCTCAGAGTTGCACCGTCAGCAGCTTTGTGTTCTCCTTTTGTTTTTTAATATCTTCTTCGTTCTGTCGTCTTCCTGTCCCTCCGCTCACCTCTGTCCGCACGCTGAGCTCTGATTGGCTGAGCACTTTCTGCACTACAGTCTGGCTGCTTGCCAGTGGCTGCCGTGCCCCCTGATCAGAAGAGAATGTGACATTTGTGCAGAGGTAATGGAATCTGCGTGCAATTAAATCTCTGACTGTGAAGAGGAGTCTATCTCCCCCATCTCCAGCAGCAGGGGGGGTCAGGCTCAATGATGAAACCTTCCCAGCAGGCCGCCTCGCCGCACTCTCTTTCCCAATCTCCACGTCAGGTTGTGTTTTTTAACTTCGCCCTGCCTCTATCTGGCAATTAATTACAGAAAACGTCCATTAGGAATCCCTCCAAATATTGCGTAAGAAGAATTAATATTCAATTATAAAAATGACATTACACGGCCGCGACGTCACCAATACTTTAATGAATTCTGCTGCAGGTGACAGTTATTATTTGGTGGTTGTCGGGCCGTTAAGCATGCTTTGATTCCTTTTTTATTTTGTTGGGGGAGGTGGTAGAGAGCAAGACGGAGAGAAAGGGAAGGAGGCAGAGGGCAGGTTCATGCGTGGCTGAGCAGAGGGTCATTTCTCTCTGCTGCCCTGCCACTACACTTAACGCCTCATTTGTGGGCTTTGCGGCCAATGGCTTGAGTGTCTGATCCGTTGCCATAAAAGGCAGCTTTTTCCTCTCTGCTGATGGGGCACTTGCTTGCGGGTTAATACCAGAGCCCCTTCTCTATAGGAGGACTCATATCTAATGGATGTGCGCATTCCCCATCAGCAGAGCTCATAAACATAAAACTCTCTGCTGGGTAAGAGTGAACAGCCACGCCATGCAAGCATTTCCCCTTGAACTCGTGTAGGAGTGGTTCCTATCCCTGTTCCTGGTGCATGCTGGGTGGACGGACATGCAGGATATCCAGGTCAAAGTTTGACTAAATCCTCCCTGTTTCCCTCACACACCCTGTGCTGTGCTACAACGACACAGTGTTAGTTTATACTTCTCTTCAGACCAGAAACTACACTTAAAGGTCCCATGTCATGGCCATTTCCACTGATCATAATTCCATTGTTGAGGTCTACTAGAATAGATTTATATTGTGCAATTTTCCAAAATCACATTGGTTTCTCAAACAACATCTCTGTAA